ATGATTTACACATAAAAGATGATACTATAAGAAAATTAAGAGAACATGGAATAGTTTATCTGTCAGATTTATGGATAAGGGAAGAATTTAGGACCAAAGAAGATACAGATAATGTTACAAAGTGTAAAATAGATAATTTTGATTATATAAAATTAAAGTTTTTGCACAAACAAAACCAATGCAACCAGAAAACTGGGAAAAAATTTTTTGCAACAAGTATCTCTGATAAAGGCCTCATTTCTCAAATATATAGAAAACTGACTCAAATTCATAAAAATACAAATCATTCCCCAATTGATAAATGATCAAAGGATATGAACAGGCAGTTTTCAGACAAAGAAATCAATGCTATCTATAGTCATACAAGAAATGATCTAAATCACTATTGATCAGAGAAATGCAAATTAAAACAACTCTGAGGTACCACCTTCACATCTGTCAGAGTGGCTAATATGACAAAAAAGAAAAATGTTGGATGCTGGAGAGGATGTGGGAAAACTGGGACACTAATGCACTGTTCGTGGAGTTGTGCACTGATCCAACCATTCTGAAGAGCAATGTGGAACTATACTCACAGGGCCATAAAATTGGAACAAAGGGCTATAAAACTGTGCATACCCTTTGATCCAGCCATACTGCTACTAGGTCTATATTCTAAAGAGATCCAAAAAAAAAGGGAAAAGGACCTATTTGTACAAAAACTTTAAAGCAGCTCTTTTTATGGTAGCTAAGAATCGGAAATCAAAGGGATGTCCATCAATTGAGGAATGACAAAACAAACTAAGGTATGTGATTGTAATGGAATATTATTATGCTATAAGAAATGACAAGCAGCATGATTTCAGAAAACCCTTGAAAGATTTACATGAACTGATGCATAGTGAAGTAAACAGAACCAGGAGAACATTGTACACAGTAACTGCAATATTGTTTGATGAAGAACTATGAATGACTTAGCTATTCTCAGAAATACAATGATCCAAGACAATACCAAAGGACTAATGATGAAGCATACTACCCACTTCCAGAGCAAGAACTGATATTTGAATATATTTTGAATACAGACTGAAGCATGCTATTTTTCACTTTCATTTTTCTCCTTTATTTGTCTTCTTGTACAAAATGACTAATATGGAAATATTTTACATAATTCCACATGTATAATCTTTATCTGATTGTTTACAATCTCAGGGAGGAGGGAAGGGATAGAATTTGGAACTCAAAACTTTACGTAAAAATGTTTTAAAAATTAAGGAAAAAAATAAAGAGGTTGAATTACAAAAAAAAAAAGAAAGAAGGTGGATTTACACTTTCTGTAGCTGGCTTGATTAAATAGGCTATAATACTTGTCAACAGGAAAGGTATTGTTTTGCTATCAGTAAAAATAAGAAAGGACCACTAAAAAAATTAAAAAATAAAATAAGGGTAATAATACTTAGACCAATAACTGATCTCCAAGAGCTGCTGTGAAGATTAAATAAGAAATTATATACAAAGCCCTTGGGAATTAGAACAAGCCATGTAAGTGTGAGATACATCATCATCATCATCATCATCATAGATGCATCTAATGTATAAAAGCAAGGTACACCAGCATAATATTTTCTCTTTTTTGCTTATTAGAGAGATCAATGTTGATGACACATCCTGGAATTAGAAAGGGTCTCAGGGTTTAGAGTTTGAATATCTCAGTTAAGGTACAGTTTAAGCAATTAATAATTGTGATCATGGGTTGTTAATGTTGTTGAGTCATTTCAGTCAAGTCTGACTCTTCGTGACCCCATTTGAGATTTCTTTGGCAAAGACATTGGAGCATTGACATTTCCTTCTCCAGCTCATTTTATAGATGAGTAAACTGAGGCAAACAGGGTTAAGTGACTTGCCCAGAGTCATACAGCTACTGAGTGTCTGAGGCTGGATTTGAACTTGCTAACTCCAGGCCCCTCACTCTATCCACTGTGCCACCTAGGTGCCCCAAATCACTTAACCACACTGAACCTTAGTTTCCTCATGTGCAAAATGAGGATAATAATAGTTTCACTATGGACTTTACAAGGCTATTTAAGGAAAATGCTCTGTATTAATCAATAAACACTTACTGAGCAATTACTATATGCCAAACCCTGTGCCAGGTGCTGAGGATACAAAGAAGAAAACAAAAACAAAGAGCTGATATTAAACGCTATATATGTTTAGACTTTTTGTTTTTTAGCATTTATATAGCACTTTTAAATTTGCATAGCACTTTACAACATTCTGTCATTTAATCCTCATGACAATCCGGAAAGGTAGGTATTATTGTCCCCATTACACAGGTGAAAAAACTGAGGCAGAAAGAGGTTAAGTGATTTCCCCAGGATCACACACAGCTTGTAAATTTCTGAGGCTGGATTTAAACTCAGGTCTTCCTGACTCCAGGTCCAAGGCTCCACTGACCATTTCAGCTAGCTGTTCTTTATTTGCACTCATTTTCACTTAGCTAACTTTTAGGTTTGCAAAGCACTGTACAAATATTACCTCATTTAAAAAACCCTGTAAGGTAGTTGCCATTATTGTGTCCAATTTTATAGATGAGAAGATTGAGTCTCAGAGAGAGGAAGTAGGTTGTCCTGGGTCATAGAGTAAGTATCTAAAATGAGATTCAAGCTCTGGTTGTCCTGACTCCAAGTCCACGTCATTTATCTGCACACACACAAGGTCTAGAAAAAGAAGTGGCAGGATGCACTGTGATGGGGCGATGGTTCCAAAGAGCACGCTGCTGTTCATCTTGGAGTGGCTCACACAGTAAACACCTTGGGGGTTACCTAGGGTAGACTGTAACATTGAGAACGTTGCTGGTTTTAGCTTATTGTTTTCCTGCACAAGTGGGACCATCACACACAGAAAACAATCAGGGGGACGAGTGAAGCGAGTACCATGAGAATAATAAAGAAACAAAACAGAAGGTTCCTGAAAATGCTAGGGTCTGTCTGAGGTTCATTATGAGCCATTACCAAATGACTGAATCTCAGAAATGCTGTTATAAATATGCTGTCGTCGGAGTCATTCGGTTTGTGATGAGATGAGAATCAGAAGCAGTTTGACAAAATGTTGTCAGTCTCCTTGAAAATGTCTCCTTCTCTGAGCCTGAAAACTACCCAGAGGATAAAGGAAAATACCACTAATGACGTGAGGATTTCTCCAGGAGGCCCTGCACCGGTGGTGACGAGCTTTCTTCAGAAAGCTCTCTTCACTGAGGGCACCTGAAACATGGGCTTTTTCAACCCCCAGGTTTCCATTCTTATTTACTGCTTTGGAAGGCTCATTAAAAATGACAGGTTATTGTAATAATGAAGTCAGAGTGTGGCTGTGTGCAGTCAAATGGACAAAGGAGGAAAGCGTTTGGAAAGGGAAGCAGGAGAATTATTTTCAACATGTATTTTCATAAAGTCACTGGCAGTCTCGCATAATCTGAGAGCTGGTCTCAGAAACAAGAAGCCTTGGGTTCAAGTTCTACTCTCAACTCTCCGGATTTCTCTTCTCCTCCTTTGCCAACTCCCTTTGCCCTCCTCTCCTCTTCCAGCTCCTCTTTATGTGTTGTTTTCTCCCCAAAAGAATAAAGCATCTTGAAGGTAGGGAGTGTCTTGCTAGCTGGCATTTGTTATCCCTGTGCTTGGCACAGTGTGCCACATTTTATGCTTCATAAATGTCTGTCTTTCTCTTCTCCACCTCAAAAGGTCCTTCCTTAAGCTAGGTACATAGTGCTTAATGAACGTTTCTTGACTGACTGACCATGATGGTCTGGGCTTCCCCTGGCAAGTTGCTTAGCCTCTTAAGTTTTCTAAGTAACTGCACAGATGGTGCCAACAAATATCAGTAGAGGGAATTCCTCATCTGGGTCTTCCCTAGTCTGATGAGAGGACATTTCTATCTCTATTTCAAAAGTCACATATTTAGACCAATCGTTAAGTATAGATTTAATGCTGGTTCCTCTCACTCTAAATCTAATGGGTTTCCTCCTCTATTGACAGCCACAGAATTTAGAGCTCGAAGGACCTTTGGAAGTCATCTGGGCCCACCCCTCATTTTACAGATGAAAAACTGAGATCCAATGATTTACCTAAGGTCACCGAGGTAGTAAATGGCAAAGCTGGGATTAGAACCCAGGTGCTCTGGCTTCAAACCAAAACTCTCTTCCCTCTCCCATTCACCTCCACTCACACAGCTATCAACCTACTTCAGGCCGTCATCACCTCTTGCTTGGACTATTACAATGGCCCTCTAACTGATTTCCTTGCCTTCTCCAGTCTACCCCCCACTCAGAGGCCATAGTGATTTTCCTAAACTACAGGTCTCACCATGTCCTTCCTCTGCTCAATAAACTCCAATAGCTCCCTATTGCCTCTAGTATGATATATGGACTCCTCTGGGTTGCATCTAAACCCTTTTACATCCTGACTTTCCATCTTCCTCTCCAGTTACATTTTAGCTAAAGGGCTTTCTTGATGTCCCTCACACAACACTCCATCTCTATTTTCTGTGATTTTGTACAAGCTATTATTCCCCATGGGCAGTGAAGTGGCATCGTGGATCGGTACAGGCCTGGAGTCAGGAAGATTCATCTGTATGAGTTCAAATCTGGCCTCAGACACTTACTACCTGTGTGACCTTGGGTAAATCACTTCACCCTATTTGCCTCAGTTTCCTCATCTATAAAATGAGCCAGAGAAGGAAATGGCAAACCACTCTAGTATCTTTGCTAAGAAAACCCCAAACTGGGTCACAAAGAGTCAGACATGACTGAAAATGATTAAACAACAACAAAAATTATTCCCCATGCCTAGAATGCACTTGCTCCTTACCTCTATCTCTTAGAATCTCTACTTTTCCTTCAAAGTTCCATTCAAATATCACCTTCCATATGAGGTCTTTCATACTCCTTCCAGCTATGGGTGGGTACACCCCCTCCCAATTACTTCTTATTTATTATGAATATAGTTTGTAAATATATTTGTACATACCGTCTCCTCTGATAGAAACGTGAGCTCCCTTGAGGGCTAGAACCGTCAATTTTTTTCCTGTATTCGCAGTGTCTAGAATAGAGTCAACCATATAGTAAGCACTTAGTAAGTGCTTGCTGATTTAGTGAATCTGTCGGATCACTAAAGTATTCTTAGGGTGCTTAGAGGTGAGCTTGGACTCTTGAAGATCACACCACTGCAGTATAACCTTTAGCAGATCCTGTCAAGCTGGTGTTATCCTATCCAAGGTCCAACCTTGCTAAGTTCAGAGAGGCTAATCTCAAAAGCCTTGGCCACAGGGCCATGAAATTTTCAACCATGCCCTGCCTCCCCAATCCCCCAGAAAAATCATAAAGACCAGATACAAGCACACAGAGGAGCTGTAATCTGTACCACTGAAAGTCCCTGAAGAATCTAAATATTCGTCTGCCTAGAAAAGGCTCCTTTTCAGGTTAGATCCAAGCTTAGGGTTTCTCTCTCTCTTATACGATCCAATAAAATGAAGGCAGATGTTCTCTTTACAACTATCTGAATTAATAATATCATAACTGGCCAGGCAAAATATAAAACTTTAAGCTTGGTGCTTGGAAGTCACCAAGACCCATATTTTCCATTTCTTTTCTGTCTAGAACTGAATTTCAGTACTTTAGCTCTAAATTTCAACCATTCACTAATTTTCCATAAGCTTGTTTCATTTTGTAATTTCATCCCTTTAACATTAATTCAACACAAAGCCTCCAGTAGCACCCACACCTGTGAGGTATTATTAATTAACAGCCAAGAAGGAGAGCAGCAATCATTTATCCATCTGCAGTGCTAATCGTTAAGTTTGCATGAGAGGTGGTGCTGACAATATTTTATAAAAGCCAATCTGAAAAACCATATGATTCTGGTTAAATTTAAAGACTCCTGGCTCCTGCCAGTCCAGATTTTCATACCTCGGGCTGCTGCGCAAATAAGACCATCATCATTTCAAAGTACAGTAGGCAGAGAAAGAAACAGCTGTTATTAAATTTTGTATGGAGCCCACAATTCATCTCATTAACTGCCAGAAAGGATAGGACTGGAAATAGAAGCAACCTAGGCCGTAGTTCAGGCAGTGGGGGAAGGGAGAATGAATGGTGATTCATATTTAAATTTCACTTACCAATAAGGTCTTAAATTGGAAATGTGCTGCCTCCTTCAAATCTGAGGCAACATAGTTTAGGAATCTACTATGTTTAAGGCACTGAGCTAGGTGCTGAGGGAGGAAGACTATTTATTTGTATAGACTCCCACACCCACCTCCAGGAAAAATGGCAGAATTGATTTGATCATGATTCACTGGTTCATGGTACTAAAACTGGACTTTGGGAGTGGCAGGTGTGGGAAAGGGTGGAAAGGCACACCAGTGTGGCTGCAAGGGAGTTGATGAGGAGGAGATGGCCAGAGGGTATGGAGTGAAATGAGAGATAGTGACTGGTTCTCCTAAATGATGGTCTGGGAGAAGTAGTCACCAAACAGGATGACAGGGCAGAAGTTCCTCCAGAGCACGGTCTGGTTGGCTAGAAAGGGGTGTAGGAGGTGAACCAAGAGAAGGGGGTGCAAGGTCATGCTGCCTCTCACAAATACATTAATAGTTCATTCATAAATACATTAATTATTTGTAATAATAAGCATATTAGAAAGGGGCAGTATACCATAGGAGCATAGGGGAAGTGATGATAAGAACAGACTTCTCTCATACTTTTTCCTTCCTAGTAGATCCAACTACCAGATGTTGCCAAAAATGAATGGTCAGCCATATTGTATAAAGAGCCACAGACCCACCTACCCATCCCATGCCCTTCTTCCACTCTACCCATACATATATCAAACCATTCTGGTATGGAAGGCCTAAAGTAGAAAAGGGTGAGGAAGTTCCAGACCTCTCCCAAATACTGCAACAACATATGCAATAATTATAGGATGTGATAGTCATAGGTGCCTTTCAAAGACATCCACATCTGATATCCCTCAAAAAGAATGGAAGGCTTTTAAGAATGAAATTCTGATAATATAAGTATCAATTGTTCCAATGAGGAATAAAGGAGAAAAATGTCTACAGCAGGAGTCTTAACCTGAGATCTATGAGAGTTTATAAACTTGGATGGGGAAAAAAAACTGTCTTTATTTTCACTAACTTTTGGTTTCCTTTTTAATCATATGCATTTTATTTAATGCATTTAAAAAGATTATTCTGAGAAAGAGTCCACAGGTTTCACCAGACTGCCAACAGGGTCTGTGACACAAAAAAGGTTAAAAATCCCTGGTCTAGAGAATGATGGGGTTGTGCAAGGAACTCATCCCGGTCAGATTAAGAGAAAACTGCAGAGAACATTCTACCAAGGGCAGGTAAATAAGGCTGAATTCAAAAGGATGGTATGGTCTTACAAGAACTTCAGGAATCTGCTCTACTTACTGACTTCCTTTAAGTCCCAATTAAAATCCTTTCTTTTGCTGAAATAAATATCAATTCTCTCTTAAATCTAGCGCCTTCCCTCTGCTAATTAATTCCTTTTTACCCTGTATACAGCTTGCTTCATGTATATTTATTTGCATGTTCTCTCCCATTAAGTTGTAAGCTCCCTGCAAACAGGAACTGTTTTTTGCTCTTTTTTTGTATCTCTTGCACTTATCACAGTGCCTGGCACATAGTAAGTACTTAATAAAAAGTTTATTTATTGACTAATTAAAAGCTAAAGCTCATAATAAATGCTAAGGATAATAAAGAGGGCCCTTTTTTAAAAAAAGCTCTGTTGAGGACAAAAGGATGATAAAATTGGCTGAAGATTGTTGCTTAGGGTAGAAGAGATAATGCAAATAGACAACAGAGTGAAGGCAGAGCTATTCAGTGACAATTTTGCTCCCATTCCTCTACCAAGAAGAATGATTTTCAGACCAGGAAAGTAGAACACAAATAATTAGCAGGGAAATGAAACCCAAGAAGATCGGGGAGGTGATAAAAGAACATGTAGCTATCTTCAATGAATTTTAGACATCTGGCCCAAATGAACTATACTCCAGGGACTGAAAGACATTGTGGACGTCAATGCTGAGCTGATGTCAATGAATTATGAAAAACTGTGGCAAATGGGAGAGGTACATGATTAGAGAAAGGCAAATGGCCCAATTTTCAGAGAGGTAAAGGAGGTGAATTATTCAAACTGTAGACTAGGAAGTTTTACTGTGATACTGGCAAAATTCCAGAATGCTTCATTTAAGAAATTGTTTAGGAGCACTTAGAGAGAGAAGGAGTGATCAGTACAAGTCAGCACAGTTTCACCAGGAACAAGGCATTCCAGACTAACCACTTTTTTTTTAACCAGGGGGATGTAGAACCCTGGTATATGAGGATTTCAGCCAAGCATCCGGTAGCCTTCCATATCTTTGCAGAGAAAAGGAATAGATGTAAATTAGATAGCAATGCAGTTGGAATGAGAACTGGTGGAATGACTAGACCCAAAGAATGGCGATCAATGGGTCAATGAACTCCCTCCTCACCTCTGCCTCTTAGGCTCCCTAGCTTTATTTAAGACTCAATTTATGGGCCGCCTCCTTAGGAGAATCCCTTTCTGGTCCCATTAGTTCTTATGGCTGCCTCTCACCTCCAATTACTGAAGCCATAAGGTACCCAGTAGGAGAGAGGGGGATATGCCAGGCATGTCAAACCACCACCATCACCACCTCAACCCCACAGCTCTCCTTAGATCTCAGTGGAGTGCTAAACCCAAGGACCTCAGAAATAGCAGTAGCCCCTACGCTTCTGGTCCTGCTTCCATCCCAGCCATGGAAGCCATAATTTGGGGAAATAGGTCCTGTTGAGAAGGCGCCTACTTTCCTTGCCAGCAAGAACACCAACTGCCACCAAAAAGGCAGATAAATCCAAGAGTCCTGGCAGTCACAGCATCCCCAAACCACTACCTCCAAAATGGGCAAGGCAGGGAGATTCAGTCTCAAGGAAAAAAAAAAAAAGGAACTCTCTATGAGGGCACTGACTTTCACATCTCAGCAAGGAGCTACACCTAAGGGGAGTTTCGGGAACATTCCACAGGAGAAAAGCACTTCCACTAAGCAGGATGTTGTGGGTATACCCTCGGGCACAGGTCTTCTCTAGGTTTGAGCCCACTTTCCCCAGAGAAGGGAAAGGGATAAACACTTCTATAGCACCTACTAGGTGCCAGGCCCTGCACTAAGCACTTTACAAATACTATCTCATTTGATCCTCACAGCAACCCTGTGAGGTTGGTGCTATTGAACAAATAGGGGTTACGTGAGTTCCCTGGGAGTCACACAGCTAGTAAGCTTCTGAGGCTGAATTTGAACTCAGCACTCTATCCACTGTACCACCTGCTGACCAATGTAAAAGGAGAATACGTTTCCAGTTTGGAGGCCTGTTTCTATAGCAACCGTCCTTGCTATACCTGCTTCTTAGATGCTTTCTGAAAACTAGCTCTGACTGAGAATCAATGGGGTGCACTCTGGTGGAGACTTATGATCAATAGTACTAAAAACCCCAGTGATCATCAGGGTTACCCTTAGAACCCTGGGAGAGGATCAGTCAGCCTTTCTTTGGGAACCTGGCTGTCCAGCACAGATGGGAGTTGGTGAAGTAGCCCAGAGGAGATGCTATAAAAGGAAAAATTTTCTAACAGAGCAATCCCAAAGTGTAAAAATGCCCTTGGAAGGGAATAGGTTCTCTTTTACTGAGCCCATCAATCCAAGGCTAGGTGTTTGTTGTAAATGGATTCTAAATCAGGTATGGACTGGACCAGATGGCTGTGGAAGTCCTTTTCAGCTCTTGAGATTCTGGGTGTCTATGCTAGTAGAGTTGGAATTCCAACCTAGGGGGGCTCTGACTCAAAATACACTATTGCCTCTAATTGCTTCAATGAAAGCACAAGTAATGCGCTCAATAGATCTGTGAACGGTCTGGAGCTAGATGGGACAGCTACCATACTGGATGACAGAACTGACATCTAAAGAGATTTCAATGGATCAGAATGAGCCTAATAGGATGAATTTTAATAGCGATAAATAAAACATGGAGGCAG